CTTTTTATTTATGCAGTATTTTAAATGTTAATATTATTGAATTTTATCTGGCCAGGGCGGCTTGTTTTATATTGTATGTTTTATATCGTATATTTGTATTTTAATGTATATATTTTAAAATGTTATTTTAATTTATTGTTGTAAGCCGCCCCGAGGCTTCGGCGAATGGGGCGGCATAAAAATGTTTTAATAAATAATAATAAATAAATAAAAATTCATTATTCACTAGACCACTGTTTGGATATAAAAACTGGTAACCAGGCCCTGACAAGTTATCTTAATATTAGTCTATACAACAGAACATTCTGATATAGGATAGTGTTACCAGTCTTGGAAAAATAAAATCTTATAACCATCTTATATAGAGAGAATATACCCAATGATTAGAAATACTTGTTTTTATCAATTTTTTAAAAATAGGCTCATGGTCTGAAAGCTCATTGAAGAGAAAAACACACACAAAAACAGTTACCAAAAATCAATAATGAAGAGTCATTAATTTCAAGTTGAATTAAAGCTTATCTTTACACTTGCACCTTGGACTGAAAAACAGCTCTCACCACCCCAAATTGGAATAGTTCTTCAAAGATAATTGATGTTTAATCCCTAGCAATTTGTAACTTGTTAATGAGGAATGAATCAACTTTCTTTGCCCAGCCAATTTCCATGACAACTTGTAACACACAATCTCTGATCCTAGCTATCCTGGATCACTTGAGTTGGGTTTTTAGGGGTTAGTTTTAGTCATGTTAGGAGGTGTTAACTGTAACAACTGGGCTAGAGTTGTGAGGAAAGCCTGTCCTGAAAACTCAGCCTTGCAGTAAATTTTAGCAAAAACCTCTTCTCACAACCACTTCAGTTTATGTTGGCTGAAAGGAAAAACATGGTGGAGACACTCTTCGGTGGGGAAACTGGCTGTTTTGTTCTTGTGGCTTAGCTGTTGACACAGACATCAGTAACTAACAGTGGCAGATGGTTTGCAAAATCTAAATCCTGCATGCGCTAAGAAGTCAATATGGTTATGCTTTTTTCATGAGTCTGTGGGCCATAATGTCATGGGAACAGCCTCTGAATAAAGACAAGAACAAGGAGGGAGGTGTAAGAGATCAGAGAAGGATGGGAAGTGGAAGGTGGAACAAGGAGAAAGACATGTCTCAAAGTCTGAATAAACAGTCAAAATCTCAAGTAAAGAACAACACACAATAACTAGCAAAGGACCAAGGACAGATTCCTGTTGTGGCATTTAGCCTAACATGAATTAAAGTACTGTGGCACCATTCAGGTATGCAAGACATGACTTGTGTGAGCACAAATAGGGTTTCCCTTGATGTCCACACATATAGCATCAATGTCTTCAGAAAGAGAGCATCCTCATGTACACAAGAGTACAGCTACACTCTCTCCTGATTTACTGTGTAAAGGAATCTAAAGAGCTTAAGGAATCAAACGTGTAATTTTGTTTGTTAGCAATATTTATTACCTGTCAAAACAAAAAACTGTTGTTTTCTATTTATTTTCTTAACTACGTTTCTCAAATGGTATTTCAAATTGATTTTTTGTGAAGCAAGCACAATGTTCCATAGCTATTAGTACAAGGCAAAAATATTTGAGGCATAAAGTATACTGAAAACAAAATCGTTGGTTATCATTTTTGGCTCTGTGTTCCAACCACTAATAATTCCTTGATCAACCATTAGTTAACACTGAAATCTTGCAACATCCTTCTATGGATTCTGGCCACAACTTATATAGCCATCTAAGCTCAATATGAAGGTCATTTCCAGGTAATTTTCACAAGTAATATATACCAACAACTATGGATAGATAAGCCTTGTTCCAGCCCATATCAGTTTCACATATATTCATTCATAACTCTACCACATTCCATTTTTGTATTAACCTGCAACATGTTTAAAACTCTTCTTCATGGATCACTGCCTTATCGTGGGGAAGAGGCTTGCGTAGCTCAATGAAGCTATGAGCTATGCCGTGCAGGGGCACCCAAGATGGACAGGTCATAGCAGAGAGCTCTGACAAAACATGATCCACTAGAGAAGAAAGACAAAGGAATGTTGTCCATGGAGTCACGATGGGTCAGACACGACTTCGCGACTAACAACGTTTAAAACTTCATAAATACATATTTAAATATATATATTTTAAACATATTTCCCTTAAATTACAGATTTCTACATGTATTTTATCATAAAATATGCATTTTGATATATTTTTCAGCCAAGGATGCATTGCAAAATTTGGAGAAGTAGAAAATCCAATGGATGATTGTATCCCATTTCATAAATAAGACCGGAGGATGCAAATCAGGTTGGGTTTATTTTAAAATGCAGACAGAATACATCTTTGAACATTCCTACCCATGACTGCCAACTTCACTTTCCAGTTAAGCCTATGCGACTGGTGAGTCTGAGTAATGCAAAACTGTTTCCAGGACTGGTTTCCAGGTCCTGCTATCAAATCAATGATATAAGCAAACTGCACCATTCACTTTTAGTAGGTAAAGTTGATGAGTGTGTATACCTTCTATCTAAGCACATGGCTTCTCTGAGACAAAGTTACAAAATCAGATCATTTGATAAAACTGTAAAATCAGTAAACTGGAATTATCCCCTTTAAATGTAATTCTATCCATATTGGACAGAAAGGAAAGCCTACAACTCCCAGTATATTCAAGCAGCTGGATTTTTTCTGTCCAAACTTGTGCAGAATTGTGCCATTACATTTGTATCCTACATTGTCCAAGGAACTCAAAGCAGCATACATAACGGCTGTTCACATCTACCTGCTGCAATGGACTATCTACTACAGTTTAGCACTCCCACAGCTTATGCCCCATCTGTGTGGTATAAAAAAAGTGTCATCTATTCAATTAATTTATTTCTGCAGGTCAGACTTTTATAGGTACATGAGCAGGACTGGAAGAGAACAAGTGAAAGTTGACCCACATGTTGTGAATACATAATATCTCTGTGAAATTACTCTAACAACACCATGTTGATTTTTCCACCACAACCATTATTCAACTTCCTAATGTACTTATTTTGGTCCAATAAAGTCACATCATTTGCTTAGCAAGGCTTGCTGGCTGATTAGATTTCATATGGAGAAATTCTGTAAACACCTACAAAGTTCAGTAGAGTTTTCAGTGAACTTTGATTTTAGTCTGGATTTTTTGAATTTCTGAATAAACAAATGGGTGAAAGATTGAGTCCCCCTCTGGTTTTATAGGCCCCAAGAGAAAGCAGCTGAGCTATGTGAGCCAGCATATATGACCTCATTAACACTGATCAAGCTAATTAGGGAAAAGCCTTTTAAGGTTTCCACCTTAATAGGTGGAAATGGGTGACATCAGGAATTTATGCACAGGGAAATATGACAGGTAATAGCTATAATCTACTTTGGTTACTTTATATATAATTATTTTGCTAACATAGGCAATTACTCCACTAATTTTG